ACATCAGACCCCCTGCATGGAGCTTCCTTCTCCTTCTGTCTATGTCTCTGCCCCGCCCCCCCCATGAACAAATAAATAAAATCTTAAGAAAATAATAAGATAAAAAGGGATCCCTGGGTGGGCAGTGGTTTGGCGCCTGCCTTTGGCCCAGGGCGCGATCCTGGAGACCCGGGATCGAATCCCATATCGGGCTCGCGGTGCATGGAGCCTGCTTCTCTCTCTGCCTCTCTCTCTCTCTCTCTCTGTGACTATCATAAATAAATAAATTAAAAAAATAATAATAAAATAAAAACAGTAATTGAATTATATATCTCTAGTGGAATATATCTCAAGGACAAAGAGAACTCCAAAAATCAATGGTTGAACTATGTTTGTTAATGTTATTAGTTGTAGTGATGTTATTTTTATTCTGATACTATTGTGTATAAAGTGGGGAAAAAAGTGGATGAGAACTGGCATTTTTCATTGCAAGGCAAAAAAAAAAATGATACAAATGTACAAGCAATAAGGTTAGTAAAACCCAGTCGTCCTAGAGGTAACAGTAGGATCTCATGATGTATTTTCCCCTTAAAAAAGAAACTTATGAGGGACGCCTGGGTGGCTCAGTGGTTGAGCGTCTGCCTTCGGCTCAGAGCGTGATCCTGGGGTCAGGGATTGAGTCCCACATTGGGCTCCCTGCGAGGAGCCCGCTTCTCCCTCTGCTTGTGTCTCTACCTCTCTGTCTCTCATGAATAGATAAATAAAATCTTAAAAAAGAGAGTGAGAAACTTATGAAAAAAATAAAAAATAAAAATAAATTTATGAGGCACCTGAGTGGCTCAGTGGTTGAGTGTCTGCCTTTGGCTCTGGTCATGATCCTGGGATCCTGGGATTGAGTTCTGATCAGGTTCCCTGCAGGGAGCCTGCTTCTCCCTCTGTCTATGTCTCTGCCTCTCTCTCTGTGTCTCTCATTAATAAATAGATGAAATCTTAAAAAAAAAAGAGAGAGAGAGAGGGACCCCTGGGTGGCACAGCAGTTTAGCACCTGCCTTTGGCCCAGGGCGCGATCCTGGAGACCTGGGATCGAATCCCACGTCAGGCTCCCGGTGCATGGAGCCTGCTTCTCCCTCTGCCTGTGTCTCTGCCTCTCTCTCTCTCTCTCTGTGACTATCATAAATAAATAAAAATTAAAAAAAAAGAGAGAGAGAGAGAGAAATCTATATATTTCTTCCTAGCTTTGTCCACTGAAAACATCTAGAAACTGAAAACATCACTCAAAATTTCTAGAAACAATCTAGTGGCAAAGAGTACATCTAGTTTCACATTGGTTTAGTAAATACAATTTCCTTATAAGAAAACAAGGGATCCTTGGAGAAATGGATAATTCAAGTCTGGGGTAGGAATTATACAAGATGAGCCAGGAATATCTTGCGATTCTGGAAAACAAAAAAATAAATATAAAAGACTCAAGAAAGGTCGCATAAAAAGACTCAGGAGCTAACCTGAAGAGGCTTGCACAGGTAAAATGGGACAATGTAGGAATCAATAAGAATTATAACCACAGGGTGGCTGGGTGGTTCAGTCTGTTACACCCTCAAGTCTTGGTTTCAGTGCAGGTCCTCATCTGAGGGTTGTGAGACTGAGCCCTGCACCAGGCTCCGTGCTTAGCATAGTCTGCTTAAGACTCTCTCCCTTGGTCCCTGGGTGGCTCAGCAGTGTAGCGCCTGCCTTCTGCCCAGGGTGTGATCCTGGAGTCCCTAGATCAAATCCCAAATCGGGCTCCCTGCGTGGAGCCTGCTTCTCTTCTCTTCTCTCTCTCTCTCTCTCTCTCTCTCTCTCACTCATGAATAAATAAAAATAAAAATCTAAAAAAAAAAAAAAGACTCCCTCCCTCTCCCTCTTCCTCTCCTGATCTAGAATAAATCTTAATAAATAAATCTTTAAAGGAATAATAACCACAGTTAGCTAAATTATATCAAAATGTTAAAATCTATTACTTAATATTTTTTTAAAAGGTCACAGTTGGAGCATGCCAGGGAAACAACTTACCATTTTAAAAATGGAAATAAAAGGAAAGTATATATATAAAAAAAGAAAAATATCAAGCATTTATTTTGCTTTTCTTAAAATTACTCTATCAATGGGCAACCAGGTAGTTGATGAGGGGGAGTGGTCTTTAGAGAAGTATTATAGACAGTGAAAGAAGAATGATGGACTTAGAATATTGGTTTCGTAACCCCTAATGAATGAAGATATCTGGGTCATGATCATCTATGACTGCTAACCTCACAAAAATTGATGAGGTATTATGTATCCCTGGCGGAAAAAGACGCCACCCCTTGAAATAGTCTTGCCTCCCCCCCCCCAAGAATCTGATGAAACTTCTATATCTCACTACTAATTTGCAGAACAGATGACCATAGCAGTAGGAACACAATCACTAGAATCCAGACTATGGGAAAGTTGCAGAATAATAAATACAAAAATGTGGGGATCTCTGGGTGGCTCAGCGCTTTAGCCCCTGCCTTTGGCCCAGAGCGCGATCCTGGAGTCCCGGGATCGAGTCCCGCCTCGGGCTCCTGGCATGGAGCCTGCTTCTCCCTCCTCCTGTCTCTCTCTCTCTCTCATAAATAAATCTTTAAAAAATACATAAAATACAAAAATAAAATCCAACATCTACAGTTAAAAAACAGTTAGTAGTATAGTATATAACAAATCAAAAGGTAGCTTCACAATTATTGGTGAAATAGCAAAGCATTCCCATGAAAATTTCAGGAAAAAGAAAAGGATGTCCGCTGATACTAGTAACATGTAAGATTGTTCTGAAAGTGCTAGGAAGCACTACAAATTACACAATGCAATGAGGAGGCAAAGTTATCATTGTTTGGAAGTGGAAAGAACTAACTCTGGACAACCCAAGAAAGTAAAGTGAAAATTCTTAGAAATAAGAGAAGAATTCAGTACCTATCTGGTTTAAAAACTAATGTGTAAGAATCAACAGCTTTCCTGAAAACTATGCCTGCAGACCAAATCCAGCTCACTTCTTGTTTTTGCAAATAAAGTTTTTCTGGAAGACATCCATGCTTATGTATTGCATATTGTTTATAGTTGTTTTATTTTTTTTAAAGATTTATTTATTTATGATAGACATAGAGAGAGAGAGAGAGAGAGAGAGAGGCAGAGACACAGGAGGAGGGAGAATCAGGCTCCATGCAGGGAGCCCGATGCAGGATTCGATCCGGGGACTCCAGGATCGCACCCTGGGCCAAAGGCAGGCGCCAAACCTCTGAGCCACCCAGGGATTCCCCTATAGTTTTTTTAATGCTACAACAACAAACTTGAGTAATTGTGACAGGGATAATATGTGAGATTTGCCAGCCTCTCCTTTAGATAACTGATAGTTAAAAAAAAAATGGAAAAATGGGCGCTAGGGTGGCCCACTTGGTCAAGTGACCGACTCTTCATTTTGGTTTAGGTCATGATCTAAGGGTTTTGAGATTGAGCCCCACCTTGGGCTCTGAGCTCATCTTGGAGTCTGTCTCTCTCCCTCTGCTGTCCCCCTGCTCTCTCTCTCCCTCTCTCTTATAAATAAATTAAATCTTTTAAAAAAGTCTCTCCCCTTCTGCCCTTCCCAACTCCTCTGTCTCTAAAAGTAACAAAATAAAATGAAATGGAAAAAATCTAATTTATAATGGAAACAAAAACTACCTAGGAATAAACATAAAATATGTAATAACTATTATATACAAAAAAAAAACTTTAGAGTTGCACAGGCAGACATAAAAGGAGATAAGAATAAAGGTGGCTCAGTGGTTTAGCACTGCCTTCAGCCCAGGGGCTTGATCCTGGAGACCTGTGATCAAGTCCCAGGTTGGGCTCCCTGCATAGAGCCTGCTTCTCCCTCTGCCTGTGTCTCTGCCTCTCTCTCTCTCTCTCTTGAATAAATAAATAAAAAATCTTAAAAAAAAGAACAAATGGTATTAAAGAAAAAAAGAACAAATGGTATTATATATCTTATTCTTGATAGAAAACTACAGCAAGACACTCTAATCTGTTAGTACCCTCCAGCCAAAGACTACCAGGAACACGTGTTTATTACTCTTGTACTGTTGGGCATCTCAGTAAGATGGTGTTCAGAAAGGATTTACAGATTTGGCTTGTGCTAAGTGATTTGGGGAGGGTTTAAGATAGCCAGAGTTTTTCTCTGGATTGGATACTGTCAAGAAGGGGAAGTATTTCTAGGATGGGATATGTTAACAGATCTTACCCAGACAAAAGCTAAAACTGTAATTGGTAAAGTTCACTTATATTTCCCAACATGGTCGATGTTTCATCATTCTTGTGGTTTGACAATGTTCCTCTCTTTGTTGGTGTTCACATGACTATAGAGTGATCTTGTTTTTGTCTTGATCCCTCACATCATGCAGTGACTTGGTCCAATGTTGATACTCTGTGAAATTGTTCATGTTTAACAGAACACCACGGCCAGTACCTGGATGTCTGGAGGTGTGTTTAACTTTCTCAAATCTATAAATTAAATGCAATTTTAAACTTAGTTGCCAGTTACGTCTGTTCTTGTTTTACGAAAGAACTTGACAAAACATATTTAATTTGGGTATCTGAACAAACAAACATTAGGAAAGAGTTAATAAACCAAAAAAGAAATAGTATTGCGTAAACAAAAAAGACGTAAGAAGAAAAGATTGATTAATCTACTACAAAAAAATAAGTCAGTTTGGAGAACAAATCACAAACTCGGATAAAATAACTTCAACGCATTTGAGGAAGTGATGTCCCCAGTAAAACAAGCAACTCTCCCTACCAATAACATAAAGAGTACTTTCCGGAATAGCTTCGATTTTTTACCTTAAGAATGTACTCCTGAAAATCATTTTCAAGAAAAAAAGACTGGGATTTGAACACATCGAGGCTCGCAGAGGCTCAGAGGAGCCTCAAGGAAGGACTACGCTTCCCAGGAGGCTCTGCGCTGAGCGTCCCCGGACTCCCGACAGGCTCCGCGCGCTTTACGCGCCAGCTTTGGCCTTGGCCACCGAGCAGCGGAATCGGCGGCGGAGAATGGAGAGTAGCGATGAGGCAGCAGTCGAGAAGTGCCGCGTCCACTTGCGCCCCGGCACCCTGCGCGACGCCGCTAGCGCCACGCTGCATCTTCTGCCTTGCGAGGTTCTAGTTAACCGGCCCGCCCCCGTGGACCGCTTCTTCACCCCAGCCATTCGACAGGGTCCCAACGGTGAGTGCTCACCGCCGGACTACGACTCCCGGCAACCCCCGCACCCACGCCACGTTCTCCTCGGCGAGGAGTGGCGCGAGGGCTCCTGGGGATCGTGGTCCAACGGAGGTGGCGGGAGGGCCCCGGGGGTCTTGCCCCGCAAGGCCTGAATCAAGCCCGTACCGAGGCCCCGAGCCTGCCTTCTGCAGGACTCGAAGTGTCGTTTCGGGGCCGCAAACTACGAGGCGAGGAGGTGGTGGTGCCTCCCGGCCTCGTGGGATACGTGATGGCGATGGAGGAGCAGGGAGAGGTGTCGATGGAGAAGGACTTCTCGGAGGGTGACGAGCGAGAGGAGCAGGAGCGGGCAGGACCCCGCGAGGCGCTGGAGCGGGACTTCGTGAGCACGGGGGTGGAGGGGCAGGGCTGGAGAGTGGTGCGGGCGGCAGCGGTGGCCCTCATGTTGAGCCGGGCCCCTTCCTCAGGACCAGTTTATCGGAGCCATCGCCAGTTTCAGCCGCTTCACGCTATGGGGCCTGGAGACCATTCCTGGTCCGGACGCCAAAGTGCGCGGGGCCCTAACCTGGCCCAGTCTGGCCGCAGCGGTGAGTAGGGGGATGGGACCTCACTCTTCAGGCCCCATCCATTCCCTTGTGCCTTCAAGGGTATTCCTTGGACTGTCCAGAATCTTGTCCGAGTGGACTTGGGGCTTCAGGGCCGGGGAGTACAATGGGGCACAAGGAGCCTGGGTCTGACTGGATTAGACTGGTCAGGGGCTGGGGGGCTTCCCCACCTCTGACCTGTCTAGAAGGGGTTGTCATTCTGAGTAGCTGGGTCACTCCCAGAGTATGTGGGCCACCCAGTGTGTGTCAAAAACCCAATAGTAGAGGGGACTCCTGTTGCAGATTCACGCACAGGTGCCTGAAGACTGAGAGCCGGAACTTGAAATTGAAAGCCACTGGTTCCTTCACCCCAATAAACAAGCTCTTCATTTTGGAACCACTGATTCCATCACCCCAATAAACAAGCTCTTCACAGCACCTGCGACTTTGTGGGCACCTTGGAGTCTTCTAAGCTGGCACTACCCCTTCTCCCACAAGAAACTTTCATGGCTCAGTCTATAGAAATGATTTATTGCCAAGGAGCAGTGAGGGCGAGAGAGGCCAGAATTTTGCTGCCAGTACCCACCCCTCCTCCCAACTCCTACTTACAAAAGAAATTTTTACAGCCACTAGCCCTCTGTACAGAGTGCACCCACCCCCCATCTCACTGTACATAGCTGCTTGGCTCCGTCCAGTCCCTGCTTCATAGTAGGCCCAGACCTGCAGCCAGTTGACCTTGGAGTTGACCTGAGCCCTGAGCTCGCCTTGGTGCTGGGCAGCTAGCCCCTACCAGGCCTGTCCTCTCCTTATGAAGCTGTCCTCAGCCCCACCTCCCTTGGTGTGCCTCTTGGGGGCCCTGGTAGGGGTGGGATGTGCTGTCAGCCCCAGTTCTACTTTGTTGCCACTGCTATAGACAGTGCCTGGTCACCATTTTCCCCTCTTGCTCCAGTCCTTGGGAGTGAAGTGCAAACACTTGGAGTCGATTCGAAGGAGCCGCTTGAGCATAGCTCTTTCATGCCCATCCACGATGTCCTCAGACAGTGTGAGGATATACTGGCCCTGGATGGGAGATAGGACCAGAAGGGTCAGCCCATGTGGGGTGCAAACTCTGCAGCCCTACACACGCGTCTCCCCCTGCCTGCCTCCCTACCTTGTAGTAGTTGATGAGGTTGAGGTACTGTAGAGTAGAAATGACATCCTCCTTCTTGATGCTGGTGATTTCACTGATCTCGCTGTGGGAGGGCAAAGATCAGGTCCTCTGGAGGCCTTCCTCTCTGCCCCAAGCCCCCAGGAGCCCCAGGAATGAGGATGGGCCATGCCATGCACCCCCAGGGTCAGAAGTAGGGCCAGGCTCACTTGATGGTGATCTGTGGCCTCTCCCCGCTCTCTGACTTCAGCCCCATCAGGATCTCCAGGATGGTCTGGGACCAGTAGCTTCGGTAGGATAGGAGGCCAAGGTCTGAGAGGGGCTTCTCAGGGGTCCCCGTTTTCCCTTCCACTTTGGAGAGTTCATAGCCTACAGCAAGGCAGCAAGAAGGGGTGGGTAAGTGATCACACCTTCATGCAACTTTCAGAACATGGTTACAGGAGTAAACTGCCTGGTTCCCATCTCACCCTTGCCGTGTGGTAGTTCTGTGACCTGACATACGTAGCTAGTCTGCTGTGTCTGTTTCCCCAGAGAGCTAATGAGCATTCACTCTTCATCTCTGTGCTGTGGAGGGTACTGAAAGGAACAGCTATAATCCACCTGGAGGAAAACTCAGGAACCAGGGAAGTGCAGAGAAAATGACAAGAAAGGCAAGTGCCTGATTGTCATCATTCCAGACCATATCTCCTGGGTATGTGAGAAGGGAAGGCAGCCCCCACGTGTGGTCTGGGCCTCCAGGATGTCTGGATTTGCAGTCAAGTCAGTCCCCCTAGCTGTGACCTGGGGAGCATTGGCTGCTCCAGGACCAGGCTGGCCTGACTAGGTGTTGATAAGAAGCAAGGAGAGGCACTAATGTACTTCCCAGGTCAGAAGGCGGCCGTTCCACAGCAGGTAACTCACCTCTCCAGAGGCACTCTCCGACTGCTCTGTCCTCCTCTACCCTGCTGATTACTGGGCACTAGCAGGCAGTTCCCAGGGAGCCCCTCAGGCTGTGCAAAATCCTATATGGCTTCGTGTCTCTTGGCAGAGTCTTCATTCTCTCCCTCAGGGTCCTGGGGTGTCCTTCATTACCTCTATAAGCCCTTCTTCACCCTCAGTCACAGCTATGTGGGCTCACAGCCCTTTTTGCCTGCCCCTCCCAATCTTTATCAGCTAGTTTTGCCCAATCTTCTGTGACTTCCACCAAGCAGCCTGCTGGGGAGAGGGACAGAGAAGCTCCTGCTTTAGAGAAAGGAAGCCTGGAAGAGGAAGGGAGCACACCTGGGTCCCTACTTGACTTTGCTGGGCCTGCCAGTGTATGTGGGATCCTGCCACATCAGCCTCCCCAGCTGCAAGGAGCTCCTGGCCCCTCCCCAGTGAACATCCACCTGCCCTCAAGAACTGCCCGGAATGGGCACTCCCAGTGCACCTGTCTGCTCCTGCTGGGCAGAAGTGAGCACATCACATTGGTGTCCTTGCCCACATCCTATCTTCACGGAGGTCTGAGCTTCAAGGCTTGGATTCATTTTAAGTATCCGCCCACATATCAGGCTGAGGGCTTCCTGAGAATGTGACCCCATCTTGGCATCATTCTATTAATAAAATAACTCAAATGGATCATGACCTTGATCAAGTCAAGCCTCTGTGACTTCACCAAACAGCTAAGGCTCCCTCCTGTCTCTCAGGTCAGAACTTAACTATCCCAAGGGTTCAGTGAGTGGTGAGTTGAGTGGAGTGATATAAGATGCTGGGAAGCAAAAGGGGGCCTTGCGGGTGGGGAACATAGAAGAGTTCACGGATGATGAGGGGCAGAGTCCCTTGTGGTCTTTAAGAGACTGACCTGCCTGAATCCAAGGAGCAGAGACCAAATCCACACAAATCAGTGCTTCCTTATTTTTGCTGAGTTAACATCACGTTAGCACTTTGAACATCCACTATCTGCAAGGCTCAGGTGACAGCTGGGGAAATGAAACACTGGTCCTCACTCAGGGATTTGTATGGTGGCACATGAAGCACTGGTCCTCACTCAGGAATTTGTATGGTGGCACAGAACCAGGCAGATGAGCAACAGTGGCTCACCTAGTTTCTGCTGATGGCTCCCTGGACGGGAGCATATGAGTCAGATTTGTGAAAAGTTGGTTGCTTAAAACCTCACCCAAGGAAGAGTGAGGAGCTGAAAACCTAGCCCAGACAAGCAGGGTAGTTGCCCTGAGAATGGAGAAAGCCTTGGGAGAGTCCCACCTTTATTTCTGGCCAGCTCCCCTGGTAACAGCAGGGTTAACAATCATAGCAACCTAGCTTGTCTACAAGGGAGGCACAATGGCAGCACTGGCATTGAGCCTGGGCCCGCATGTACCCACCCCGGGCCCCTGGCCGGGAGCAAAGGTACTACTCACTGAACTCGATCAGCAGCTTGCCGTAGCCCCGGCGCTGGTAGGGAGGCAGGGTCAGGATGCAAGCCACATTGTAGTCTTCTGTGGATTCCTTTTCCTGGAAAGGGGAGGAAGGTGAGTGAAAAGGGGACACAGCTCAGGGCAGGGCCAAGAGATGATCTGGATGAGCACTCACCTTGGAGAAGTACCCGACGATGTGGAAGCCCTTGCAATCATACTCTGTCATGACATAGAAGAGGAAGGGATCTGTATCATAGTACAATGTCTTGTGGTCGAGGAAACACTTGGCCAAAAGACACAGGTTCTGGGAATAACTCTGCAAAGGAAAAGGCGTGTCACCACCCTGGGTACCCTGTCTTAAATGTGGTCATTTGGTTTCTTTACCCAGGGCTGATAGATGATGAGTCTTCCTCCCTGGCGCCTGACCCGTTCTATTAGGCTGTCCCTCCCACTCAGGCAGAGCTAATTCTCAGAGTCAAGGAGCCCATGTACCAGCTCTGTGATAGTGTCTGACCTTCTGTCTTGCTGGTGAGCTGGGCAAGTTTACCCCTGTTCCCCATACCCCCCCCTAAGTCTTGTCTGGGGGGTTTCCACTGCTCTCTGCTGCAGTAACAAAAGTCAATAGGTTGTGGCATGTCTAGAAAGACACTGCCAAGGCTTAGAAGAGGACCTCTACCCTGGTGACAGTCTTAGGAATCTACCTTTTAAAAACCACAAAACTCTCCCACCTCCAGTCACACATACTGGAGACTGATCTCCTAACCTACAATGGAGATCAGGTGTTCTGAAACTGAAAGTAACTGCCTTAGGGGTCTCCCCACCAAAAGGATTCATCTTGCTGCTTTGCTTTATTTACCTCTATGCACATTTTCTCCTGCATATGAGGCATGGCTTTTTAGCCAGCTGCTGGGCCATCAGGATGCCCAAGTCCACACAGAACAGTAGTGAAAGCAGCCTCCTTCCCTTGAGCTTCCTCAGCACCCAGGCCAGAGCTCCACCCTGTAATTCAAGATGCCCTGCTTCTCCCTTACTGCCCTCTTTGCCCCAGAAATGGTCCCACAGTCTTAACGGTCCAGATTACTCCCTTCTTCCTTCCCACAGACTAAGGCAGGTTTGAAGCCCAAAACCTGCAGTGACCCCTACTCCTCCCCCAACTGGCCACCTTCTCCCCACCTGAGCTCTGTATCTTGGAACAGCCTTGCCTCATCCTCTCTGCTTCTCAGCCAGAATGATCTTACCTTTCCCACCATCTGTACATCTACGACTGCCCTTCAGAACCCCACTCCTTGGGCTTCCCTTACCTATCTTATCCTTCATGTTAAGGATCAAAGATCATCTCCTATGTGAAACTGCTGGCTACCTCTGGGTCCTGATAACCCATCCTTTATTTCATGACACTTATCCCTGGGATCTGAGTGGATGTTGGCAGATCTGTTTTTGCCATGAACTGTGAACTCAAAGATTCTAATTACTGGTCATCTTTATACCTCCCACTAACTACCTCACAGCAGAAACTCAATAAAAATGGAATGAGCTAATCTGTTGGCCAGACTGCCTAGTATTTTCCTGAGCAGGAAAAAGCTGCTCGTTTAACTTTCCCCAGACCACCAGTGCCAATGACTCCCCGCTGCCCCTCAGCCACAGACCTTATTCTTCCGTCCATCAATCTCAAAGAAAGAGATGGTGCCCTTGCGGTAAATCTCATTGCCCGGGGGTGTCGCAGGTCACACTTGGTCTGAGGAAAAGAGGAGGATCAGAGGCAGGGACAGGGTGGGGGATGGTAGGAAAGCAACCTCCTTGGACCCCTCATACCAAGTGACGCTGCAGACACTTGAGACTACGGCCATATTTGAGGCAGAACTCGCAGAGGTAGAGGACGGGCAATGTGGTAAGTTCCTGTGGGTATGGGGAGAAGTACC